CAAGAAAATGGAAACATGAAATCTGAGATACAAACAATGAAGCTAAAAATGAAAGAATTGAATAATATTCTCCGCATTTTATATGTTGGAGAACTCGCTACCAATGTTAGACTTTTTATCAGGCTGAAAGTCTTTAGTAACAAAAAGAACATTAAAAATATGACTTTAATTGATTATGATGAAATTTTTAAAGAGGGTAACCATTTTCTTGATATAAATGACATAGAAAGATGGACGGAATTCCGTGCAAAGTTGCAAAAAGGAAATATTAAAATATCTGAGCTAAATGATGCCTTGAAGAAGGCCACTCAGTGGCGTAATAACTTGGCTCACCCCAAGGATTTACCAGTTTCTTTAATAGCCTTGAAAGAGAAAAAAGTCAATTAGGATGATTCCTTGGATAAAATAGAAAAAATTTTTATGTTTTAAAAAAATAATTTTATTTCTGAAACTTAAACGTTTTAATTATTTTAGATGATTTAATTAATTAATTTATTTTACGCCACTGGGTGCCTTTTTCAAAGTATCGCGGGGCAATATGTATTAAGGGGATCCTGGACCATCATGTTTTTACCAACCGAACGTAATTTTTTGATTTTACCAGTTTTTATAATGGCTGAACAGAATTACAAATGCTTTTACACAATTAAAGTACATACATCAATACTCTATGGGACAGTCCCACAACTATTGTCACTAACAAAAACATGGATTGTAGATTAGATCAATATATATATATATTGTTTAATAAATAACCCGAGAAATGTCTGGTTTCGGGGGTGTCGGGCAGAACAGTCAATGAGTCACACGCACAAAGAAATATGAGCCGCACTTCACAATTCTTCTAGCGATGATATCTCGCTTTATTCTAATAATTACACTAAATCTTATTAGTCTAGGATCTTATGCAATAATTCTATAGTTTGTAATTGAGAACGACCGCGAAATCCGCCGAGGAATTCGAGAGAGGTTGCAAGAGAATGTTACGTCGCTCTACGACGTACCGCGTGCTTCGTACGATAACTGCGTACAAGTCCCCGGTGTCCCGAGAAGGGATAGCGCACACTTCACGCGCGTATGATTCTTAAATTTGATGCTGTTAATTTCCGGGAGATGACAATGACCGTTTGAGACAACCGTATTAGAGTTCACTTGAGCAGAGCCACGAGAATCTAAACCGAATATTCAGAGAGCGAAAACTGTTCTAAAGGCAACGTGCGTCACGATAGACCGGTACTCACAGGAAGATCGAGGATTTCCGGAAGGGTCGATATCGACGCAGGAGCGCGGATAAGGTCCTGAGAGCGTGCTTATGATTGGGTGATAACATTGCGCGAGACTAGTTAGATTGATAGGACAGGCTGCGGGATTGGGTCACGGCCGCGTACAAGAGGAAAAAGGAAGAGAGAGAGAATGCTAGAGAGAAGGACTAGAGTAAGTGAGATGCCGGTGCAATGATTGAGAAAAGGGAGCGATATTTCCTGAACACTGTGATAATGTTTAATCTTATGTAAAAAGAGAATACCTGCAATGGCTGATATACTCAATGGCAAATAAAACGCATTTGAAATAAAAACGCGCAATTTTCCTTTCTGCTTCATTGGTCGTTTCAAAGCCTCTTGAATATCGAGACGCTTCCGCATTATAGTTGCATCCAATTTTCTCTCAAACGCGAGTAAATCCATATATGCTTGCGACTCTGGCACCAAATCACGTACTTTCTGACGCAATATTTTGTCTGCCAATTTCTTCTTTTTCTTTGATGTGGAATGTGAAAAATCACTGTTCCAAAAACACCTAAATGAGTTTATTCGAAAATCATAGATACAGAAATTATAAATAATTTTGTAAGCCTTGCATTGCAGTTGGGTCATTCCTGATAAAACTTAGTTGAAATAAGACATTATTAGAATTTTATTATAAATATTATAAATATAAAAAGCAATGTTTTTAATATTTTATACATAAAAAGAATAAAAAGAAGTCATAACATGCAAAAAGAAAAAACAAATAAAAAAGAAAAGCATTTAATTGTTAAAATATGCTCCGATTAATATAGAAATGCAAAATTTACACGAATACATTGCAAGAGAGATAAATAGAAAAAGCAAATTTTTTTGTAAATTTCTTTTAATAACTGTTCTCTCGACGGTTTTTGTTGTGACATAGGAATACGTTGATCTGCATTTGTGGCGGTGGAGTAAATCCAGAGGGCCTCTGGTGGCTCAGGGAGTAGCGCGTCTGACTCACATCCCAGAGATCTCGGGTTCGATTCCCGACTCGACCCTGGCCTGCGCTTTCCTATTTTTCCTTCCCTACCACCTCCCAAACAAATTCCTTCCTTCTCTCCTTCCCCAAGAGAACGTACTCACTGAAATTTATATTCTAATATAACCTGTTGTTGGCCCGAATATATTGATCTACCCCTGATCATATTGGTCATTTAAATAAAAAAAAAAAAAGAGGTAAATCCAGATCTCTGCTGCATCTAATCATCAAACATTGTAAGTAATTAACTTTATTACATTTATAAATTATATAGTGTATAAGTTAATTATGTAGCCCTTTTTATATACTATTATTCATTATATCGGATAATGTGAAACCTCTTTCTGAGGCATGTGGGGAAGTGGAAGGATAGAGTTTTATATGATAATCTGTGGAAAAACCTCTTTTGAGGCATGTGGGAAGGACGGGACCCGAGCGGAATCGAACCTGGAATCTCTCGATTACCAGGCCGCGACTCTACGCCCGGCGTCACGCGTCGCCCCCGACGTATAAGTGAACTGGGATTTATTTGTAACTTTCGGCTGGATTTTTTAGCTCACGCCTACTGCTCACTGCTCCCCTCTTACCCCTCGCTCCTTAGCAACGCATCGCCACAACCTTATTATTTTATGCATTCTATTCGATATAAAATAAAGCAAATAAAACGCCACTATTTGAACATAGTTATTATTTAATACAAAATTACAAACAAATGTGTCAAAACTTTTATTCATCCTTGTTATCACTATCATCAACACTCTCTACAGATCGGTTACAACTATTCGGATGATACTTGTAATTACTTGTTGTAATTTTGTATTAAATTATAACTATGTTCAAATAGTAGCGTTTTATTTGCTTCGTTTTATATCGGATAGATGTATAAAATAATAAGATTTGAAGTTGAATTAAAATTATGCTTAGTTTTGTGAGTAAATTAAAAGAAAATTGTCTTTTGAAAGTGCAAATACTACACTATATAAAAGATATATAACAGATATATACTATATATATGTCATATGTTAGCTACAAGCATAGACATAGTATATCTAGACCATAGACATAGTATATCTAGACCGATGCAAGAGGCACGAAACAGAGTATGTCCTTTTCTACGTGTTCTTTACCCCCACTCCTTAAATAAAGGCAAACGCTCGGTCTAGATATACTATGTCTATGGTCTAGATATACTATGTCTATGGTCTAGATATACTATGTCTATGGTCTAGATATACTATGTCTATGGTCTAGATATACTATGTCTATGAATACGTCCATAGGTTTCTCTCATCCATGTATAATAATATGGCGCCGCGTAAAGGTGCCATTACATGGCAGCGTTAAGCGTCGAGCGTCTGCGTAGAAAATTGCGCAGAATCTAATTTCAGCCTAGAATCTATCTCTTTTAAATTCTGCGCATTTTTCTGCGCAGACGCTCGACGCTTAATGCTGCCATGTAAAGGTGCTTTAAAGTGGCGCCACTATAGTGCGCATGTGCAATCGAGTCTAACCAAAAACCAGAAAAAAACAATATTTTAAACACGTCCGTATTCGGTTATTTTCCTGGTTTAAATACGTCCATAGGTTTCTCTCATCCATGTATAATAATATGGCGCCGCGTAAAGGTGCCATTACATGGCAGCGTTAAGCGTCGAGCGTCTGCGCAGAAAATTGCGCAGAATCTAATTTCAGCCTAGAATCTATCTCTTTTAAATTCTGCGCATTTTTCTGCGCAGACGCTCGACGCTTAATGCTGCCATGTAAAGGTGCTTTAAAGTGGCGCCACTATAGTGCGCATGTGCAATCGAGTCTAACCAAAAACAAAAAAAAACAATATTTTAAACACGTCCGTATTCGGTTATTTTCCTTGTTTACTACTTTATTAGGTCAGAATCCCGCTTTTTAAGATTGTATTTCACTAAGGAGGTTGGTTGCGGTTGGAGTTACGGTTGACAGTTGCGGATTGACCAATCAGCCGACAAGCTGCTTTGCTCTGATTGGTCAATCCGCAAACATCAACGGTACCCTCAACTGCAACCGAGCCCGCAAACCGTAGTGTAATACGGCCTTTAAGGTACCTTTACGGCCGGTATTCATAGTCCGTTCTTATATTCAAGATCGTCTTAAGTACGATCTTAAGATACTATGCGGCCATTTCATTGGTTGAATGGGATCTTAAGACGACCCAAGACCACACTTAAGACGATCTTGGATATAAGAACGGACTATGAATACCGGCCTACATGGCAACATTAAGCGTCGAGCGTCTGCGCAGAAAAATGCGCAGAATTTAAAAGAGATAGATTCTAGGCTGAAATTAGATTCTGCGCAATTTTCTACGCAGACGCTCGACGCTTAATGTTGCCATGTAATGGCACCTTTACAGTTTTGCCATGTATAATACGTTTTATACGTTTTATACGTATTATACGTTTTTATACATAGGAATCGTAGGAAACCATTCGCAGCGCCAAATTGCCCAACCCTGGTTTTGGGTCACCTTGCACTTGCACCGATTCACAGATTCGCACGTTCGTGCACATTCCAAAGATATGTTCTGAAATTTCCCGATGATAAGTCAATAGAGAGGTCTGTTCGTTTCGCTGGCACCTTCTCTCTCTCTCTCTCTCTCTCTCTCTCTCTCAGCTTCTTTCTCTTTCTCGGATGCGCACGCGCAAAGAATTAGCCTCGCCTAATGATAACCGAGTGAGCAGGCGCGCCAATCCTTCGAGCCTAGCGGAAATAATGACGTCAGAAACTCGAGGCGTAAGCGAGATGCCAATGGGGTGATACATCGTCAGAAACTTGGACTCTATCTCCGTAGTTGGATCTTGTTCATTACGTTTAATGCTGCCAATTTTGCACGAGATATCGTGACGAGATTTCGCGCGAGCCTGTTACTGTTAACGGCGGGAAAAAATCGCACCAGCCGAAAGTTCTTTCCACTTTGATGCAGGTAGGCCGGGTTCGTTCTGTCTCGAATACCCCCTTCCCTCTTCCCTCGTCCTTATGCGTTACCTTCGTCTACCCGTATACTAGCGCGTGTGCAAAGGACGTGTGACGACGTTTCCTTCGGAATCAAACGGAATCAAATGTAGTTGCTATTGGAAATTGCGAGATTTACGGATCGCACAAACGGATGTAGAAAGACAAAAATAATAGCAACATTATCAATCACAGTGATTCATCTTCTCGTCGCACGTTCTGGCCGAGAAATTCAGAGAGGAGATACAGTCAACGATATTTACATTTGACACACTAGACGAGTGGTATAAATATTCCAATTGGGTAATTTTTAATCTTGAATTCACTTATCTGCAGAATCGATAGATACTGGCTTTTTCTAATTTGATACACATGATCAATTAATATGAAAAGCTGAATATGTATTTCATTTAAGTTTCATTCTGAATGTATAATATTTGTTTATAGAATATAATTAAATGAAAATAATAGCATCTTTAAATTATAAAATTTATGATGGACAATTATAATAAAAGGAAAACGACTTATAAAAATGTATGAGCAAGTCATTTAATTTTTTGTATAAAAAGAGAATAGAGTATTATCCATTGCGTCTATTATATATGGCTATTATTATGTTGATAGTTAATAGAAATGAATTTTAGAAAGCTTTATGTGCTAAGCATTAATTTCAAAAAAATTATATATATATATATATATATATATATATCAATAAGCACCTTATATGTGATTTAATACATTGGAAATTTTTGAGAACACTAAAATATTCCAGATGCACACAAAAATAACAAAATTGAAATAATGATACAAAATTTTATGTAATTATAGGATAAATATTGATATCATAAACATGTCTGATCACTTTGGGCCAATTACTTTGAAATGGGATCCAAAAAACTTGGAGATACGGACCATGTCTGTAGAGAAAACATTAGAGCCGCTAGTGCTTCAAGTTACCACATTAGTGAACACAAAAGGTCCCAGCAAGAAAAAGAAAGGAAAATCAAAGAGGGCTAGCGCGCTTGTTGGAACCGTAGAAAAAGCAACTACCAATTTTATCGAAAAAGGTGAAAAGATCGCCTATGAAAATCCGGACATTACAGCGGAAATGTTAAGCGCTGTAGAAGAAGTGAGAAAAACAGGTGCAGCAATGAGCATTGCTGCAAGGTATAACAGCTTACTTATTTATATTTATAAATGTGGATATTTTTATTGCTATATTATGTGCTCATTTAACGTGGAAATCATTTATACAGGGAATTTTCTGAGGATCCATGCTCGTCGCTGAAACGCGGCAATATGGTACGCGCCGCAAGGAATTTATTGTCAGCGGTGACGCGTTTACTTATTTTAGCAGACATGGTTGATGTTCACTTGCTCTTGAAATCATTATACGTAGTGGAGGATGATCTGAAAAAGTTGAAGAACGCCTCCTCACAGGGCGAATTAATCCAGAATATCAAGGAATTTGGCAGAAACGCCGCCGAATTGATCCATCAGGCGGCCAAGCGTCAACACGAGCTAAAGGATCCACAGCTCAGAGACGATTTGGCGGCTGCTCGGGCCGTCCTGAAGAAACATTCCACCATGTTGCTCACCGCGTCGAAGGTATATGTGCAGCATCCCGATCTGGCGGCAGCCAAGGCGAATCGCGATTACGTGCTGAAGCAGGTGTGCGAAGCCGTGAACACGATAAATGACGTTGCTCAAGGGAAAACTCCGCCCGACAATCAGCATCCTTACGAAGGTCCGGGCGAGTTGGCCGCCGCGTTGGATGACTTCGATGAAAGGATGGTGATGTCTCCGCTTGCATATAACGAAGTTCGTACGCGGCCGAGCCTCGAGGAGAGATTGGAAAGTATTATCAGCGGGGCCGCATTGATGGCGGATTCGTCGTGCACCAGGGACGAACGTAGAGAGCGCATTGTCGCTGAATGTAACGCGGTCAGACAGGCGCTTCAGGATCTTCTGAGTGAATACATGAACAACGTAAGTAGAGATGATTATGATTATATAAAAAGAAATGTGCGAATAATATGTAGTGTTGACATATCAAAAGGATGAGAAAGGAGCATAGATATTTTTGATTAAGTAAATACGAGTAGATACGAATGTATCAATTATAATATCATGATTAGAATAAGAGAGTAATTTGATACTAAGTGTAATAATTAGACTTGGGTGGATTTTTTTTTAGATTTTTTCTCTTGAATTTTGGTTCCTTGAATAATAAAGCGCTAAATTAATGTATTGATTGATCATCAGTTTGCATTGAATAATGATAATTGATCGAGTAAGAGATATATTAATCTTTTATTTTTTCGAATATACAAAATAAACACAACTATACTCTGTAAACGACAGTTTACTATTATTATCTCGCTCTAAAATAAAGCGCTTATTCAATAGTTTAGAACTTTACAACATCCAATATTATAAATATATGACATTTATAAATATATGACATTGTTCATTCTAGTATTTTCAGTTTAAGAATCTTATTTGCTATTTTTTATAAAATTTTATACGATACAATCAATTATGCATAAAATATGCGATTTATTCTTATTTATTGAAACTTTTTATAGTTATTGAAACAATATTCTATTGATTTGTTTTTGTTGGTGATGGCCAGTTACAGCGCGCTCGGGGTGGGAAACGGGTAAATATGCGAGAAGTAATCTTACATTTTCTTTGTATTTTTGTTGCATATTTATTAAATAATTAAATACTTTCTCCATGGGTTTTTTAATACGCATATACACATTATCTTAGATTTCTTACACACTACCAATGCATATTTTCATTCACAGTAACCAGCACTAATCATTAGATTATTAGCTACATGCCCACTGTCTGTTTTAATAATTAGTTTTCTAATTTTTTCTACATTTTTATATATAAAGATTAAGTGACTAATATATATAATTTGGCAGTTATATAAAACGAAAAATAAATCTAAATGCAATATAAAATGCAATAAGTAAAACGATAGGTTAGCATAACTGTAGAAAATTAGAATGTGCTGTACATATAATTATACACATAAATAGTAAATATATATATACACATATACATCACGTTTTAATACAGGCCACTTTTCACATGTAGAAACTTGAACTAATTTTGGGATCGATCTTTCCTTAATGAAAATGTTGAAGAAAATCATTATTTATTTCAAACTTTCAATCTTGAATATCTTGAAATTAAATAGAGAATAAAGTTTACATCTCAAAAAAGAATAACAATTTATATTTTTATAATGCTTGTAATTTGAAAAATATCAGTTCTCTCGACTTTTTTGTTAAAGATTGATTTTAAGTTTACCAAAGAATGCCTAAGTAAAAAGTGGCTTGGCATGTATCTCCGAGATACTTTGTACATATTTAATTTGTAAATAACGCTTGTGCTGCAAATATGCTGCTAAAAATCATAATCAATTATTATTTAATATTTTAGAATACATTTTACATATTATATATATATTAATATATAACATTATTTTAATAATATTATTTATATATTTTTTCCACAATTATACGTTTATTTTTTTCTATAATACGGATCGGATTTAAACTAACAATAACCATGTTGCATATTAAGCAATCATTTATAGCTGTGTAAAGTACAAAAATACTTTATCAAGTTTGTACAAAATTAATCGATAAATATATATTGACAGATGGGCGTCAAGGAACAATCTGAAGGCTTAGAGAGAGCCATAGATCACATGTGTAGAAAGACCCGTGATCTTCGCAGACAATTGCGCAAAGCTGTAGTTGATCATGTATCGGATAGTTTCCTGGAAACGAGCGCGCCGTTACAAGCTCTGTACGAAGCAGCAGAAAAGGGTTGGATCAAGGAAGTGGAAGAGTATGCGCTTATTTTCACGGAACATGCGAATAAACTGGTAGAGGTAAATAATTCTTACATAAATATTATAATAAATAGAAAAATAATTTCTTTTATGAATGTGCTCTCATTGAGATATTTTAAATATAATAAGATTAAAATTATTTATTTTCTTTGAACAGGTTGCAAATCTGGTGTGCAGTATGTCTAACAACGAAGATGGCGTAAAAATGGTGCGTTACGCTGCTGCGCAAATAGAGAATCTATGCCCACAGGTGATCAACGCTGCGCGCGTGTGGGCTGCACGAAATACGGATGTTGCGAAGGACAATATGAAGGTATTCCGCCAGGCGTGGGAAAATCAGATGCGCGTATTGACGGAGGCTGTGGACGATATCACCACGATCGACGATTTCCTGGCGGTCTCCGAAAATCATATTCTGGACGACGTCAACAAATGTGTCTTGGCATTACAAGTGCGTCCCGGTGATGCTGACACTCTAGATAGACATGCGGGTGCAATACTCGGCCGTTCCGCCAGAGTGTGCAATGTCGTACAAGCTGAGATGGACAATTATGAGCCATGCATTTACACTAAGCGAGTTCTTGAAGCGGTGAAGGTTCTCAGAAAACAAGTGATGCCAAACTTTGAGCAACGAGTGGAGGAGGCTGTGAATGCTCTGCGCAGCAATCCGGCGCAAGAAGTGGACGAAAACGATTTCATCGACGCGTCTAGATTGGTGTACGACGGAGTTCGCGAAATCAGGCGAGCTGTGCTGATGAACAGGGTAAAGAGAACCGTAAAAACTTTACGGCTATTCTCTTCTTCGTTATTTTTAATTTCTCGTCATTTTTCAGGCGGATGAGGACCTGGATCCTGAAGATGTGGAACTGGATGAGCATTACACGTTGGAAACACGTAGCAAGTCTAGCGCTCAGACCGGGGAACACGGTGTGGACGAGTACCCGGAGATCAGCGGCATCACGACCGCCCGTGAAGCAATGAGAAAGATGCCGGAGGAGGACAAGCAGAAAATCCTGCAACAGGTCGAATATTTCAAGAGCGAGAAACTCAAATTCGATAAAGAGGTGGCGAAATGGGACGATGCCGGCAATGACATTATCGTTCTTGCTAAGCACATGTGCATGATTATGATGGAGATGACGGACTTTACTCGCGGCCGAGGTCCCCTGAAAACGACCATGGACGTTATAAATGCGGCGAAGAAGATCTCCGAAGCTGGCACAAAGCTGGACAAGCTGACTAGACAGATTGCCGATCAGTGCCCGGAGAGTTCCACAAAGAAAGATCTCTTGGCGTATTTGCAACGCATAGCGCTCTATTGTCACCAGATGAATATTACGAGTAAGGTGAAGGCAGATGTGCAGAATATCAGTGGCGAGTTGATCGTCTCCGGCCTAGATAGCGCAACCTCTCTCATACAGGCTGCCAAAAACTTGATGAATGCCGTTGTGCTTACGGTGAAAGCTTCTTACGTCGCGTCGACGAAGTATCCACGACAATCCACGGTAACGGTAAGTTTCATCCGCATTTATTACTTTTGATTATAGTAATAACTAAGTCTTAGTGTATATTAACAATTAATTATATTATAAATTAACAGCTATTGAGTCAATAACCTGTTATATTTGAAATTATACAATTTATTATTATATCTTCCTCAATCTCCATTAGCTTGTCCAATTATAGAGAGTTTAATTAGACGCTTTACAAAGTCAGTTGAAAGATACATTAGAGTATTACACAATAGTAAAAAAGTTAAATAATATCTGTTTTGGTATTATAAAATTTTAAAATTACTATAGTTATACTCTCATTATATTATATATATATTTTATATTTTTTTTATTTCTCTACACTAACATTTGTGGATTTTCAGTATGTAAGTATATGCTATCTTATATATGCTGCCTTAATAAATCATTCATGCACAAATGTTATAGAGTATTTTTGCCAATTTTATATGTCATTTTGCTTTGTACTTTTTTTTCTATTAAATATTAGAGACTTAAAAGTTTATTAAATATGCTATATCATATATAAATGTTAAAATAAAACATGTTGACATTTAATCAATGCAATCATTAATATTAATCTCAAAGCACAAATTTAGTAAAGAAAATATATATGTAGATATTTAATATATAATAATACATATTTGTTATTTGTGTTTTAATTAGTCTCCTATCGTCATATGGAAGATGAAGGCTCCGGAGAAGAAACCGTTAGTACGTCCCGAGAGACCTGAAGAGGTGAGAGCGAAAGTGCGTAAAGGTTCGCAAAAGAAGGTGCAGAATCCTATACATGCACTTTCGGAATTTCAAAGCCCTACCGAGAGTGTATAAGCTCTGCCAATGTAAGTAAACGAAAAAATAGAAGTAATGTATTAAATATATATATACATACAGCATCACCTTTCAAGAGTTATGTAAGGCCAAAATATTTTATTTTCGATGAAGTTTAAAATGTGAACGATATAGAATGTCTTGATCATTCCGTGGTATACTACGCATGAATATACAATTTAAGTATGTTAACTATTAGTTTTTAATCGAGAACAATAATCACAGTAATAAAAGCGAATAATACATAATTCCAAGAAATAACCAATGCAATTTTGAAGAGCCGTTTTAACGAGAAAATTAGTAGGAATTAAGAAAGGCTGAAAGACATACACACAATCATCATATTCAATCTTACAGGGGCACAATTAAGTATAATAAGGATTTTATGTTACAAATCATATTTGTTTGTGAGTCCATACAGTATGATTGTATTTGAGTTTTTACTCGCATAATGGAAAATCTTTATATTATCTATTACATTTTTTTAGCTGTAAGAGTGACACATACACATTTCACTCATGCGACAAATTACAAGAATCCTATTACTTCCTATATTACTAATTTATTTTTCGACAATACAATATATTTCTTATTGGTTTATATTATTTTATATAACTTTATATTGGTGATTTTTATTCTATGTATATTTATTATTAAGATTTTTTAATATCAGTATCTACTTAGACGTGATAGCGTTCAGATTAGAAATATATCTTTATGTAAATTTTTTCTTCTTATAGTAAATTCTATTATTCTTATTTTTTTTGTGAAGAATTGAGTTTATACGAGGTGAATAAAACTGATCATGGATTGACACAGTATTGTATCGAAATAAAGAGACTGCAGATTATAAAGTATTTACTATATTAACTTGTATATAAGCAAATATATTATTACATAGTTATGGGCGAATATCATTTTTAATTTTTGTATTACAAACAATTGAATGAGTAGGAATATGTGAATGTGAAGAAAAAAATTCCAATTCCCATTTAGTCCATATCCTAATAATAATCTTTTTATTATCAATTTTATTTTGATAATCAAACGTATATCAGAATTGATGTGTGTTATATATTAATGTTATATTGTACTCTATACAATGTAACATTTGTAATACAAGTAAGATTTTAATTACTGTGAAAGGCCAAAAGAAGAAAACCAGAGAGCAATGTATTTAGCTCTATATATATTGAATAATTCTTTATATATATTTCGTATTTTGTAATATACAAATATACTCAATCTAATATACAAAGTTCTCTCAAAAATAAAATATATCAAGTATTACGATTACATCCGCTCGCGCGCGAGTGGTTTCCCCTAAAGTCTATAAATAAAGGTAATGGAGGGATAAAACGTAAATATAAGAATTCTATACAATTTATGAATTATTTATTTTTTCATACAATTATATATATTTTCTTTCGTGCATAAAAATTTATATTTTATTTCATTAATTCTAATAGGGCAAGATGAAGCATCGTCAAATTGTCTCTGATATCATTTATGGTTTTTGTAATTTAATCCTCACATTTGCGAAGAAATGCAATGTGTGGTATGAGATTTATATCATTATATATATTCACTTTGTATCAAATTATTATTCACTTTATTATCAAAGTGATTTTTATTGTCTGTCTACTTAAGTATACAGAACTATTACTTCTTACGTCTTAGGAAACATACTATATTTCAGTACTCTGATACATATATATTATTATATTATAATATATTGCAGATTCTTTGTAGCTACATAGAATTGAACCATCGATTATACGACACGAAATAGATGCCAATATGTTATGTAATAAAGTGGCATCGTATCATTTTTTATTATCGAGATAAATATTAACGATATTATAATTACTTTTAAGATTGAAATATTGTAATCAATATGCTGCCAAATATAAGGTGATGCTTTTCTCATAATAATGACCTATTTATTATTTCACATATGTATGATGATTTATTTTCATACAAAATTATCCATATATATTCAAGTGATGTTCTCTTATTATGACATGTGGGATAGAAAAGAATGGAAATAAAATGTACATTTTAATACATGTATCTATATTTTGCTTTATGCTATACATTAAATGCTACAAGAAAAAAATAAGGAGTGGGCACGAGAAAAACCACATATGCAAAAAATTGCTAGAAATGACAAAAATACATTATAAGTTAAAATAATATATATATAATATGTATATATATAAAATTAATATATCATCTATATCTTGAATTAATATATACTAGCTATTTTACAATCCAATATGCGTTGCATTGCACAGAGTGTATATAATATGGTGAATGTATAATAATAATGCGGAGAATGATACATTTGTCATTCTTCCGTGACCTAACGTGAAAATTATATTTTTATATGTCATTTTGCTTTTGTACTTTTTTTTTCTTTTGATTAACATAATGCTAAAAAGAGATACAGTTATTCTCGTAAACACGCAAATGATCAAACTCTCTCACAGTACATTCGAGATATAATGTATTCGCATTGGTTACTGTAGATATATATAATCAGTTATTATACGATGATGTATGACTATCGTTTATTGTAGTACTGTACGAGAAGATTACAGCTGCACATTTTCTTAAATCTAGAATAACCTAATATTCTTAATGTTACATGTTGATTAGAGATATCAATATATGCAAGTGAGTTGAAAAGAAAGTGATGAGCAATAATTATCAAAGATTCGAGACAAGAGAGTTTAAGAATTATAAGAAATCTAAGAAATTATGCGAATAAATCATGCGGCATTTATAAATCTCAATTCAGAAATCTATTGTGATGCAGTTTCTAATATCATATATAACGTATTATGTGACTTGCATTATTTGAAAATGTTAAAGCAAAATTAAATTTGTACAATTTGAACAATGATGAAGGATATGGATACACTTATGACATATATTTTTCACACATAACGACTGACTTATTTATATAATCTGCAAATAAATCGCATCTTTATCCGCATACTTTTTTTTTTTTATAGATAAGATCAATTTGTTGTGAAAATTTTAAGAAACGAAGTTTTAAGACAGACATATAGCAGAAACTAGATTTCTTTTTTAATCAATAAATCCTTAAATATAGAATAATAGTCGGCATATTTTTATCAATATCAGTTTATCAACGGTATATCTCAATATTATGCAGGATAGTATAATATTGCAAATAATTTTCTATATTACATAGAGCCTAGATTAGCGATTGTAAAGTAATAATTAAAAGATGGTTATATACGATCTACTTCAGGTATTAAAGCTGACGTAAGAATGGACGTGAAATCAGTCTCTGCTTTAGTTTAGACTCGCATTGATTTGATTTTTTTTTTTTAAGCATCGCAAAATTCGTAATCTCCTTGTGTCATCTTTAATTTGTTAAATGTAACACATCATAAAATATTCAATTATTCCCAGAGTCTCGCGCCTTGCCGTTTTTTATAATTTTTATTCTTTTGACAATTAAGTCTGTAACTGAGAGTGTATATTATAAGCTTAATAATATCGTATTTCTTGTGTATAAAATAAACGACAGGAAAAGTGATTCCAAAGTGGATTGTAAAAAATTAATATAATGTGTCTCATATATGTGAATAATATTCGGTAAACTTAGTAACGCGCTGTTTTTTGATAATCACAGTTTCTACGTTCATGCTAAACCAGGTTGTGACTAAAACAATGTGCATATATTTACCACGTATAAAGTATATAGAACGCAAACACGAAACAATATATAGATATCTCAATATATAGATCTTATTAAAACTCGTACACTTATTCATAATCATTAAAAAGAATGGCAGATATCACCAAGTAAGTAAGCACGAATGCATTTTAATCGTTATTATAATCTTGGATTGCAAAAAGTTTGATTTTAAATTTACAGAGGATATAATTCAATATTTTCTCAAATTTTAAAGGAGGATTACGAGATAACATGATTTAAAAGTTATTTCAAGTAAAACAAATTATTCATAAGAGAAATCACAAGAGATACGAGAAGAAATATCAAATATTGTATAAATATGTGATGTGATGTGATATCCACTCTCTCTCTTTTCGATAGATAAGATCAATTTGTTGTGAAAATTTTAAGAAACGAAGTTTTAAGACAGACATATAGCAGAAACTAGATTTCTTTTTTAATCAATAAATCCTTAAATATAGAATAATAGTCGGCATATTTTTATCAATATCAGTTTATCAACGGTATATCTCAATATTATGCAGGATAGTATAATATTGCAAATAATTTTCTATATTACATAGAGCCTAGATTAGCGATTGTAAAGTAATAATTAAAAGATGGTTATATACGATCTACTTCAGGTATTAAAGCTGACGTAAGAATGGACGTGAAATCAGTCTCTGCTTTAGTTTAGACTCGCATTGATTTGATTTTTTTTTTTTAAGCATCGCAAAATTCGTAATCTCCTTGTGTCATCTTTAATTTGTTAAATGTAACACATCATAAAATATTCAATTATTCCCAGAGTCTCGCGCCTTGCCGTTTTTTATAATTTTTATTCTTTTGACAATTAAGTCTGTAACTGAGAGTGTATATTATAAGCTTAATAATATCGTATTTCTTGTGTATAAAATAAACGACAGGAAAAGTGATTCCAAAGTGGATTGTAAAAAATTAATATAATGTGTCTCATATATGTGAATAATATTCGGTAAACTTAGTAACGCGCTGTTTTTTGATAATCACAGTTTCTACGTTCATGCTAAACCAGGTTGTGACTAAAACAATGTGCATATATTTACCACGTATAAAGTATATAGAACGCAAACACGAAACAATATATAGATATCTCAATATATAGATCTTATTAAAACTCGTACACTTATTCATAATCATTAAAAAGAATGGCAGATATCACCAAGTAAGTAAGCACGAATGCATTTTAATCGTTATTATAATCTTGGATTGCAAAAAGTTTGATTTTAAATTTACAGAGGATATAATTCAATATTTTCTCAAATTTTAAAGGAGGATTACGAGATGACATGATTTAAAAGTTATTTCAAGTAAAACAAATTATTCATAAGAGAAATCACAAGAGATACGAGAAGAAATATCAAATATTGTATAAATATGTGATGTGATGTGATATCCACTCTCTCTCTTTTCGTAAATAATGAGTATATATGTATAAATATTATGCAAAAGTCAAATCAATCTTCTTGCTATTCAAGCGGATTTGAAGTACATTCACCATTTATTCTATTCTCATATTGAGATTACACTACAACCTATAATCTCCTGAAATTTCGAAGTATCTCATGGAAATTGATTTAAAAAATAAGTAAATAGTATCCTGATTCTCAGTGTCACTAAAAGAGTCATAAAAAGAGTCCCTCACAGCCTAAGTAAGACTTTCACTTGAGATCTTTAAGTTTGTTGAATGAATGCTGAAGCAGGACTCGATGTGATAGTACTCGAATATATCTTTCTTACGCAAATTTCTAAGCGAAACAATATATTTGTACAAATTATAATCCTGATTTTCCGCATTTATACGCTTGCAATTGTCGATTCATCTATCGGAAGCAAAATATTTGTTATTATTAACATATCTTCAATATATGATCATGGTAAAATATGTCCTGCTAATGATTCTGTAAATATTTCATTCTCTCTGCTATAAGTATTACAAAAGGAACTCTTAAGGAAAGTTTTCATTGGGCAGATGGACACCAAACTGTAAAACACTTTTTCAGGCTGTAAAAAGTTTTACAATTGTGTTTTACAGCTTGATGAAAAAGATAAAAAGGTTTACTCTCCACGATGATGGGATTTGATCGAGACATACATATACATAAGATATGAACATAATTTACAAAACAGTATGTGTGTATGTTCTTGCTTGTGTGTGTATATACATTACTTTAGAAACTTATGAGACTTTCTTCTGTCTAAGCGATCCATGCATTCTATTCCTTCTGTTCTTTCAATGTGTGTGTAAACAATAAGTTATTCCCATACAAGATAAGTTATTCCCGTGCAATGATTGTAATTTATATAAATTAAAAATGCTAAAAATATCTGCCACCGCGAAAACCTATTCTTGATGTAAACGGCATTGAACAAGAGATATAAATTGCAAATTTTTTTTAACAAGTGATTTTTATACACGATCGTTCGTTAATATTTTTCGGCAAAAAACATATACATAATTATCCCACGCAATATCACGTTCGATATTTTTTGTCTATAAAAATTTCGGTATTACATTTAAGTATTTCACCCGGAGGTTACGTAATTGGCATTACGTTTGGATGACGCACATTACGCACCATGCAGCACAGCTCGCGCTCTTTATCTCTCTTTATCTTTGTACGTACAGTCACAGTCATTGAACTTCTAACACGATCCACTTATAATACCACTGTCTCAGATTAGAAATAGTAAACTCTAAACATTACATGTAGCCCGATTTTACGTGACTTAAACAGGGAGGGACAAGAAGAAAGATACAAAAGATTTCTACGATGGTTCTGTGGTGACTGTAGTTTCTGACGATGTACTTACAGATACCACAGTTGATTTGCGTGCCGGAATAAATTCAGCTGCATCTGGATTTAGCGTGCTCTAGAAATTCCATTACAGTAGCATATTGATATTAATAATAGCGTATTATAAAGATTTTTACCTTTTTTTTTTTCATGTCAAAAGACATTAAAGAAAAGAAATATCTTGATTGTTACCTGTTTAGCAAGATCGTCGGGCATTCTCAGATTGCTAAGTTGTTGACAAAGCTCAGCGGCGTTATTGTCAGAAGTGCCAGTAGCTGTGGACCAAGCTGTGGAATTCATATTCCTCTGATGTTGCCTCTCTTCTTCTAACATTGCTTCTAGACATTCCTCCATCAATTCTTCCTCTTCTAATTGTTGGAGTACCTATACACCAGAAAGAGTTCCATATCATTTATTGTATATTGTATATTTAATTAAATATTATATATATATATATATTTTATATGAAAATTTCTTGCACATAATAAAAGACAAAATTTTGAAAAATTTGATATTTACAAGGCAAAAGAAAGAATAGTACCTGTTTGTCAAATTCCTCCTCATTCTCCATCCACAGATATTCTGAGAAATCACCATCGCCTATTCCTTGCACCTCAGGCTCTGTATCGCTGTTGTTATCCATGTAGGAAGTGATACCTGTTTCATGCCCGTAATAACCGCTTCCTGATCCACCGTTCGGAATCTTCATTTTCATAGCCAGTATGTTGAGCGATGTACTGAACAATCACCTGCAAAGTCTCTCTATCAATATTCGACATTTGTTATAAAGTGTGATTGTTTATCAGGGAGAGAAAATAATCAACATTAAAATATAATTTAACGTTTATCCCGATGACGACACACGCACCTACGATATAATGTATATATACAATCGATTCTTTGTAGAGGGGGATAACATATATTCTTTCGGCAGATATTACATATACATTACGAAGAGATATCGCGCGCGTGAGGTAGGGGGGGGGGAGGGGGGAACGGGGTACAACATTCAACAAACAAACAAACCAGATAAACATACAGGGCTCTAAGCTCTATATCGTTATCTTGCACAAACTACGGAACTCGACTGAATCGACACCGCTTGTAAACATGATACCTCTCCGGTATACTATATATCTGCTGATTTTGCACGCACCGTCTGGGCGAGAGAGAGGGAGAGGAAGGGAGGGAGAGAGAGAGTCGACTTTTTCGAGGCGGTGTCCGAAACGAAACGCGCAACCTTGGAGCCAAGTCTCGCGGAGACGAGAAAGAGTCAAGAAACGGAACGTCCGCGTCGGAGAGTGACACGAATCTCGCGCATATGGGAATACGATCTCTGTCTCTCTCTCGCTCTCTCTTTCTTTCTCTCGAATCGACCGTTCCTCGCGACTCACGAGAATAAATCCCGGGCTATTTACTTGGAATTTGGCGTCTCCGGTTTCTCACACTCTAACGGGGGCGCATAGCGGGGAGAGGACACGGCGAATACGAGATCATCGTCGTCATCGTTGCTTGACAAATGAGGGCGACCATCTTTGCGACTCGCGTATTGTACTCGTATCGTGTCGGCCGCGAAATTTTGCTCGCCGCTCGCACGGGACGCGTCCCCCTATTGTTTATCGGTCGTCGAACGTCGAACAATCGGGGGCTGGCCCTTCTCGGGCTTATTCCCTGACGGAACGAGGAATGGAAAAATGTCGCGTTTCTCGCGGACGCGCACGCGGAACGTACCTTTTCTGTGAGAAAAACGGCTCCCAGATCTCGGATTCGTCGCCGTCGTGTGAAATACCTATCGTCGTACGTACGTACGGATCAGTTCACGGGCACGTACCGAAAACCGAAATACGTGTCGTTCAACACAAATTAGCGTTCGCGAACAGTGCTGCCACCGGCGTCGTTACATTTAAAGCCGCGCACACGGGAGCAGCGCTGGTAATGCTCCGAAATTCACGAATGAATTGTCAAAACTCATCCGCTATCTCTGTGAAATAATCGACGAAAGATGAAACATCTTTTACGCATATCGAAAAATTACTGAAATTATTCTTGGAGAAAAAAAAATTTATAAAAAGATATTTATATAAAATTCTCTCTCTTTCTTTGACAATTATTAATAATAAAACAAATATATCTAGAAATATTAATTATAATTATTACCCAGAAACACATATAGTGATTTTCTTTGTGTATACTATAATCTATAATTATAACACACACACACACAAATAAATAAAGATTATCGTGACATCTGCTACATTTACACACCAACTAAAAGTAGTTAGATCATTTCTCAGTAGGTGTCCCTACAGTAATAATTTGCGAAAGAGTGACGTGACTATTTCGACAATTAAAAAAAAAAGCTAATTTTTTTCGCGTTTTCTCATGTTTTATTTATAAGGGGAGAGTGATATTGTTATTTATCTAAAAAATTCGATGGTGGGAGGACACGGTCGTGTGCGCGCGGGCGCTTATGTGGTAATATTGAGCAATTGTGAGCAACTTTCGTGTTTCGTAGTACGAGACGCGCCGCGAAATTGACGTACGTAGTGTCGACTCGTGCGATGATACATTTACACCGCGGCGGGACGCGATTGGCCGAGCCGGCCCGCAGTTGACATGCGCGCGCCGACGTGCGTCAAAACAAAGCACGGTAGCGCTGGCTGCGCAGCAGCATTTTCTCGCGATTGCTCGTGGCGGCAAGTGCTTGTCGTGTCGTCGTTGTGTTATCGCGCTCGCGGCGTCCTTTTCGTCGTATCTCGCCTCTCATCTGTTTTCGCCAGTCTCGTTCCGGCGTTCCCTCTTCTCTCGCCGCGAGCGAGAGTCTCTCGAAGTTACGCGAGTGCTCCGCGTACGACGGGACGATGTCGTCGACGGTCAAGTACACGTCGGATGAGAAGCTGAGCGGTGAGTAAAGAGAGTCCATAAGCGAAAAACAAACACTCGGTACGCCGATTGTCAGACGCGACGACGCGGCCATTTCGCGCAGTGTCCCTGCCAGCCTCCCCCTCGGTCTCCTCTTTTTTTCCCCACCGCTTCCTCTATCGCAGATGACGCGAGCGTAAACAAACACATTTTACTATTCGCGATTGCGGCATTTCGCGATGACGCATCATCATTTTTTATTTTTTTTTCTTCTTTGTAATCGATTTGTAATGAAAACCGAGAGGGGAACCGAACGAGTCGGTGAATCAAATTTGGATGACATTTGTGTACGATGTTGACGAGCTCGATATTGTGACAGAATGACCTGTCTACGTTAATCCGTCTGACGATCCGATAACGTTTCTGAAAATTGGCGCAGTTTAATTTTCGGAGCAAGTCGCGGCGCGCGACGTATGCAGCGTCGTCGCGTCGCGTCGCGTCAGTTTTGGCGCCATTTCGATTTTTCAATCCAACACGTACCTAACATCTGCAGAAGATTCAATTTTTAATGTTGCACGCGTGAATCGATATATTCTCCCTTCGACTAAAAACCGAGAGGGGAACCGAACGAGTCGGTGAATCAAATTTGGATGACATTTGTGTAGGATATTGTGTTCGATATTGTGACAGAATGACCTGTCTACGTTAATCCGTCTGACGATCCGATAACGTTTCTGAAAATTGGCGCAGTTTAATTTTCGGAGCAAGTCGCGGCGCGCGACGTATGCAGCGTCGTCGCGTCGCGTCGCGTCAGTTTTGGCGCCATTTCGATTTTTCAATCCAACACGTACCTAACATCTGCAGAAGATTCAATTTTTAATGTTGCACGCGTGAATCGATATATTCTCCCTTCGACTATTGGCCTTTACTAGCGAAGCTGCACGAGGCGAAATAAACTTCGCGAAGTTACGCCCAGCGAATTTCATGCCCATTATCTATCGAAATATATCTATATCTCTTCTTTTTCTTCATTAAAAAATAATTTATATGATCCCTTTTTTTGAAATGCAAACCACACTTTTTCCTCTTACCTTCCTTCCTTTTCTTCAATTATATTTTTCTTACTACGAAATAAGTCAAAATATTAGACAAAAAGTATCTCGAAGGAATTCATTATTTTTGTAGAATTTTTGCGCTTATAATATTCTAGCAGCAAGTGTTGTCTAAACTCCGTGTGTAAATAAATGCACGAATATGTTATTTTTTTAGAGACCATTTCCTTCGATAAGTAAGACAGATAAGACTAGAATATTCATGGAATTTTGTGGTCAGCAGCGCAATTACCTGTGCTATCTTTTTATTCGGAAATAACTTGGAGAATATCCAGATCAAAGTCATAGAATTTATTTATATTCCATGTAAATATTTTATTGTTGTGTGTTTCCCGCGCATCTATGCGCTTCCTGGATTCGTCACACGCTACAATAATAAAATAGGTCCTGCTGCATGTGTATAATATATACAATATCGTAGATCGTAGGCACATTGGTGATTACAAGCTGAATCATAGATTACAACCGCGATAGTTATCAATAATCAAAGATTTCCTTTTATTTCACTTTTTTTTTAACATTTATATGTCACGAAGTTTTGCAAGGACAATGCGCACTTTTAATATATAGCTAAAAAAAAAAAACTATAATACAGATTCCGTAAAATTGATTCTATAAATTTGTGATAAAAATTGTATTTACACTTTTCAGATTTATATAAATAACTTTTCAAAATATTTATACACTGAGAAAAAAAAGTTGTTAACTTGACTAAATGCGTTCAACTGATTATCATTTTTTTAATTGAAATATTTAAGTACTTAAGTCAAATACGTCATGTTAGATTTAATCTTTTTTTACCAAGAATACATAATCTTTATTTTCCAGAATACATAATCTTAATGTATAATTTTCTTAATAAGTTTTATCAGTTAGTCACTTATGATGGAACATGTCAGACGTTTTATTAATAATTTATAATCAACGTGCGCCAGTCGTTTATAAACATATGTGAAACTTCAAAAAGAACCTTGTCTTTTCTACAACAATAATTTTGTATGCTTCATATGATGTTTCCTCTTCATATCGATTATTTTTTTTCATGAAAAGAAAATTTCACGTTGGAATAAGATCATTATATTAAGATAATTTGACGAAGCATTTTTTTGAATTTTACATGAGCTTTTTCATTCTCTTTAATATGTCATAATTATGGAGAAAATGCTGTTTTAGAATATTTATAATTTTTTTAACCAATCTAACAAAGAGGTTATTTGCCTCATGATTTGCCTTGCCACGTGCGAATTTCATCTTATGTAGAGGCCGCTTAAATTAAGCACAGATATGATTTCTATTATTACAAGAATTATCTCTGTTTATATATATATATACAAAAATAACTATATCTAGAAATCCCAAAAAGCATGAATCATTTCCGCGAACCCGTTCCGTAAACACGCGATCGCATAATTTCAGCGGATCTACGTGATTCTCCTCAGGAACTTCACTCATTAAAACGTCGTTGACCTGAAATCTGTCCGAGATCGTATACGGGAGTCTACGTGACTCCGTTCACGTAGACAGCTTCTTTCTCTCTCCCTCTCTGTTATATCCTCTCGGATGATCTCACATCTGACATGCACTATTAAATTAAATTATAACATCGTGTGTATCAATAAATCAATAAATCTCAAATATTCGTGAACATATTCTGAGATAGAAAGATTGATATATTCATTTTATAAAAATGATGAAAGTATTTAAATTCTATTATACACTGGTCTCATAATAATATGTAAATTAACATTTTGTACAATATCGTGTTTTATAAATACGATACTTTGGCACGTGTTCGCTCATTTACATCTTCATCGGGCTGTCAACGAAAGAGGATGTTTAATTTAAACCACAGATAAGCGTACGTGCGCGATTATCGGCTGCGTGCACGCCTACGAGCATGGTATATTAATCGAAATGGCAGACGGTCAAAAGAGGGAGAGGTCCGTACGCATCTATTTTTAGTCGGTAAAGTTCGTTGTCGGTCCTTAATCCGATTGATTAAAGCTACCCGATGGTGATTCTGCGAACGCGACACGTGACAATTTCATGCTTCAAATGTAATTTTATGGGAATTTTTACGCAATAAGTGCAACGCATGTTTAGGAAAAAAAAAAATCAGTGAATTTGTATATAATTATTTGTTTCATCAATATATATCGAGCGTATAAAAATGTTTTGAGATTTCAAAACGCGTAGATATTTTGTACAATTTTTTTTTGCGGGCTCTGTTTCTTTATAATATATATGTGATGACTTATAATATTTAAAATAGTTTTTTTTTCCTTGGATTTTATCTCCCATAACAAAAGATTTTTATTACGTTTTTAAAATATTCAAGATATCATGAACATTCTAACCATAACCACATCGTTTAGTTTTAAAGAAATACAGCAATATTTCAACCTGTGGTTTGTTGTCGATGTAACAGAAATTGTTTGCGAAATACGTTTATGTTTGAGAAGCAATAAAGATTCTTCAGGATCATCTTGCACATCCTGTGGTCGTCATCACAATCGTACACTGTCAACACGTGCCCTGTCGACACGCGCACCTTGACAGATACGTGTTCGCTTAATATTTATTAATGATTTAACGATAGTATAAAAGTAATATTTTTTTTCTATCAGGCTAATAAACTTATCTTAATATTTACATACTTAAAAATTAAAGTATTGTAAGTGTAATTTTCTAGACGGAGAGAGAGAGAGAGAGAGAGAGGAATTTTCTTTTTATATATTCATTTTTTCAATTTTATCAATTTATTCTCGATGATTATTTGATGATAATAAATGTATTACTTGCTAAAATACACAAAATGATCTATTTCGCGATTTCAAATAAATGTTAAAAATAAGCTGTTTGATACTCGGGTGTCACATGTCACGTCTTTTTAAAATAAACAGTACGATTGTAAACAATATGTCAATCTCTCTCCGATTAGTAGTACAAGGTTGGGTTAATTAAGGTTAAGCAATAATTATCAATTTACGAGGGATAGTGCGCGATTGGAGACTTGAGCATGTTTTACTTGAGGTAAAACAGATATCTTTAGAGATAAATAGATATTTTCAATATAAGCAAAGTCATCTTATGATGTACAAAGTCATGCAAATTCGTACGTACGACGTTGATTTGAAATGCAGATGTACACTGAATGAGAAATAACAAGTTATTAACATATAATACATCAATAATTAGCGTAATTTAAATATTCTATGTGTAAAAGATACGTGATATTCTATGTATAAGAAGTAATGAAATGACAAAAAATTTCTCATTTTCTATTACGATTTACAGTCTTAACTTTCGCATTACATTTGCGTTTAGTCCTCGAATAACATAGCGGTTTATCGCACGAGTAGAAGCTCCGATTTGTTAGCACGATTAAACGACGTAATTTGTCCACGTTGATTCGGACGAGATCGCCGCTGATCAAGTAATAGCAATCTGCGAATGTCTGAATAGGTTCTCCGGGCCTTTGATCTCCAACGGTGTCCATCGATGTTTACAATTTGACGCACAAAAGGGACCGATGGCGCGGTACGCATCCGTAATCAGGATACAGGATATTGTGCGCGGCCGTGAATTCGTTCGCAATTTACAAGCGTGTGCGAGCGAGGAGTTATGCAAGTGCAGTTTTACTGCAAACGACGCGACATACGTGCACCTACATCAGGCACGTGTAAACACTATTCCGTCACGCGCTGCGCGTCGACACGACTCGTGAATCCGGTGGATTTAGGCATAATGACACGCATCAATTTGAACGATAGAGCAATAGAGATGTTTACGGAATTAAACGACGCAATTTTTGTAGGCTGTGATTTTGCATGAAGCGCGAAGGGCCGATGACGACGACGAGATCGTGAGAAACAAGATATTCTTGCCCGCATATATCGATTGTTTTCCGCGTATGTACACGTAATGCGTTATATAATGTGTCTCGATAAATAGATATTTGATATCGGTAATATAAAATATCAATAAGATTAAATTAAGTTGTGTGGGAAAACATTAGTAATAATATTATATGAAAACTTGTGTAAAATGTAATGATTCTTTTTAATTTTCTTCTATATAATAATATCTAAATGCAAAAAAGTAAGATAATAATCTACGTAAATTTAGCACTCCACTTTTAATAAAATAATGTATAAAAAAATTTTTTTAAAAAATAAAAAAATAAAAAAATGTTTTAAACTCTCATGTAGATTATTATCTTACTTCTTTATATTTAGATACAATAATTCAGAAAAAAATTAAAAAGAATTACGCATGTTGCAGATTTAAGTTGGAATTCGTGTCGTATATTTTTTGAAGCATGACATAACTTTCGTTCAATAAGTGGGAAAGAGCTTGGTTAATAAAAAATTTACGTTAAGCTCGTTGCGCGTGCGGCGTTACAAGTTTACCGAGTAGACTTCTTTCCCATTTGCCGATGACCTCGCTCGACATCACATTTACGGTATTATCGCGCGCATCTTCGTCGAGCGACAATGCGAATCGACGCAACGCATCTAATATTTGTGAAAGCTGCCGCTTCTATTGTACTTGCCATCGACTGCTATTGTTCACGAGCTCTTGCATACTCAAGCGGCGGAAATTCCTTGTCGGGAAAACAAATTTTTTTTCTTTGCTCTTCAAAAATATTAAATTAACTAATATCAAAGATTAAAAAAAAAAAAAAAATATTAAAGATATGTGGCAATCGGCATAATTAAAAAATAATGCATTATTGTTTTCTACAAGCAATCTAAAAAGATGTCTTGTTGTTTGCGTACTTAACTTACGAAACTTGATTTACGGTCTTAATACGTTAATATATGCTGACGGAGATTAAATAATAGAGCGGCGCGTATATATATTGCCGCGTCGTAACCATTCATTTTTACAATTCGTATATCCTTGCAAGAAGGTTAATCGCGTACGTGCTTGGATAATCGATCGCTCGGTCGGAAATCAGAATCGGGTGACAGATTTATAATCGCGAATTTCGAGAAACTCGTGCGCGACAAATTTATTGTTCAGCTTTTCACGCCGACGATTATTTAGCCACTGAGGAAAAGTGTTATTATAATATTTTGCATATATAGAAAATAGATTGATGTACATATAACGAAAGTTATCTCATGTATTTTCAAACTTATTTTTAAAATTATTTGTTTGAGAAATTATTGTTCGGGAAAGCAATGAGATTTCTCCGAATAACGTGTTCCAGTCTCCAAGATGTGTTATTAGAATGACTTTGGCCGTTTGTCCTCCGAGATATCGATGCGTCAGATCGGGCGAAAGCGCGAATGTGCTTCGCGGCACATCGGTTTATGAATAGGTGAACGAACTCGAAGTAAAACTTCCCGCCCGGATGATTTGCGCGGTTAGAAGAGAGACGGCGGCAATAATCGCTCAACACCAATACGTCGTAGCCGTCACGTGTGTTACGCATGACGCGTAATGGTGCACGTATAAGTACGACGATGGAACGTCGCGATTGATAAATCGCGTTTAATTTAATTCCTGTTTTCTCTTCCCGTTCGTATCATTAGTTCTCAGATGATACATAATTTTGCTTGAATGCGTTGATATGTAATTGATAATCATTCCAAGGCGTATATATTGTTTATGGTATATAATTAGCGATTAACATGAATGTATCAAAGTCCGAGCCGCGTCTTAAAATGGAACTTATTGTATCTTTAATAAAATGCAAGTATGAAATTTTGGAACGCGAACTCTGATCTGGTGATAAGTAAGAATGTAAATCCCTGACAACTGAATGACATTAATGAAACTGGAACTAGCTTGCTTAAAAATCTAATTGATTATATTTCTATGAAAAACTAGCTTGTTAAAAGCAAGATGAAATAATAGCTTGTACTATTTTTGTACATTGTTAACGCAATAGTTTCGTAATTATGGAAATCAAAGTGCATTGAAATGTGGAATATAAATTTATATCTGTTATGCAGTTAGCAAATTATCGCAGTGACCGCGACGGTAGATGAACCCGAGATTCCATCAGCGATGAGTTCATTCTTGTATGATTACATTACCAGAGTTCACAATCGCGGATATTTTATTACATTACTTAACACGTAGCAATTTTAACGAAATGTGCATTATTAATAATGTAAAAAATCAATTTATTGGCATAAAAATGATTATATAAAATTAATATCTTCATAATGGTATTTATTTATATTCGTAAATAAAGTTTTTCAAAATTGATATTTAGGAGATAAATTCGATTTTATATATTTCGATCTTATCTATTCATTACTCAATTTTATAAACGCAAATAAATATAAAATATTGTTTTGATATTCTGATAAATATTTAAAATTTTTCTCATTAATTTTTTCTCATTAATTTATGAAAAGTAAATGTGTATTTTATGAGAAGAGGATAAATTACTACTGAAAATGGAGATGCATCTTATAATTTCTATCGTACAAAAAGACAGTTGGATTTTTTCTTATTTAACTCATAATTAAAACGAAATATTGATAATACGCATAGTTCGCAAAAGAAAGTTTCTCGATATGAGGATCTCTATTTTGCTTAAATTCGTCATTGAATGATCGGCAATGCAATCATTATCGTGCTCTATACATGTACATAGCTGCAGCGATCGATTACTCATGCTTGTTAGTAGGGTTGCCACCCGTACTTTAAAATAAAGTATTGTACGTTATTTTGGACGTACATACTTTATATTTTGTAAAGCAATAAAGTACGCTAAAATACTTTATTTTACGAATACTAAGTTTTGAATACTAAGTGGATGTTATTTAACGTACTTTGTTTTCGTTCTCAAAGGCGTTACATACGTTATTCGTTTTAAAAAAAAGGTGGCAACCCTACTTGTTAGTGTATCAATGATTATCTTGATTTATAGGTCAGAGTTAACGGCCATGAATTTATTATATGTATATAATAGTCAATTTATAAATAGCGGGATATATGATCTTTGTATTATTCTCTCTACGAAAAATTTACATATAAAAATGTCTAATTTCGTAATTATCGACCAATGTATCATTATTGAAATGGCGATATTATTATTCTATGACGTAAATCTCCGATTTTATTATAATATATCCCATAAAGTACGTTACTAATTAATAAACACACAGTACTAATAAATAACCGACCTCGATCTTTTTTAATCGATCTCCACTTTGTTTAATGCTAAGATATCAGAATCGTCATCGCGCGTGATTTACCGCTATTTATGTTATTATGCACGCTCTGAGCATTTTTTTGAAAATGTAAAAAACGAAATTGTTCTAGTAGAACGATGATTCGGTATGACAATTATTTATTGTCAACGTGTCAGAATCTAATTTTGATATTATTCTGCTTACATAAAAGGAACGACACGCTGAAAAACTTATTGTGTGTGCAATGACATTGATAAAGTCGTATTTAATCACGTTTTTACTTGTTAATGTTCTACGTAAGGAAAATCGTGAATCACGCATTGTGATGTTATCTTATATAAAGAAACATTGAAATAAAAAAATAATGATTATTAAAAGATATGATATTAATGTACACATTTCAGAACAATGCTTTTTATTCTAAATGCATAACGATTTTTTAGATTATTTTTCTTTATAATTTTTTTTTAATCTTGTGATATTTCAATATCTTTAAATGAAGTATTAAATGTATTTTTGTGTTTCTCTGACAATTTTATTTGTGCAAAAATCGATATTACATATAATAAAAATCAAGATTGATTACGTATGATGAATCAATATAGAGATAAGTCGCTCGACACTATATTATTTATGAAATTTCCCTTCAACTTGACCTGGTAGGGTTATTCTAATCGATATGATGGTCGGTGGTGCTATTTTTAAACATGTTACAATGTGTCATCACGTATATCGTTCAACGACTCATTCTCTATACTCTTATACATTGAACATTTTTCACCATCATATTAAAAAATTTTCAGAAAAACATTTTAAACATATTAGAAATAAATTTCAATAAAAATTAAATATCTTAGTATTAAAATTTAATCGAAATGAAAAAAATTGCAATACGCTATGACGCATCATTTTATTACGAATATAAAAAAATCGCAAAACCACAAAGAATTATTATAGTATTAGAAATGACGAGATAACTTCTACTTTTTCTTAATATTTATTAATAATAATAAATAAATTTTATTCCTGATAATCTTGATATTAATATTAATAATATAAATGAAACGAAAATAAATACGTAAATTATTAGCTGTTATTTATCTTCTTCCTTATTTCATGCGAGATAAAATTTTGGCGCGTTGTTTTTGTACGAAAATAATAAATTATTACTACTGATAGTGTGAGAAATTGCTGCAACGCGAAAACCTACCGGAATTACCGGAAAACCTGCAGGAATACAGGCGAACAAACGAGCATAAAACACAAGATAACAGATTTTCTTTTTAACTGCGCAGAATCATGGGTGGAGCTGGTGCCGGACCCACCGCTAGCTGCCCGGATAACGCCGACACCTTTTAGTATCACCGGCGAACGTGAATACCTGCGACTTCTTCGAGAAGCACAGAGAGATTCTACACATTCATCCGCGAAGCATTCTTTGGCGTCCTCGCGCCGGGATACTCCAAGGGACAGGTAAAGGAAAAAACTCGAATTTAACTGGATCAGATGCATTCCGCAAAATTTTAAAAATTTCGTTTCGAGTATTGTTGCGATTACGAAGTAGGATACCACTTTAGAGACACGTCACGGTTTGTAAAAATGTATTAGAACTTTTGAAAATAGCGATGATAAACGTAGGCGACATTTTAGCTACTTTATTGAAGTTACAGGAGTCTTGAAGAGAGCTTTAAAACCCAAGCACTCTTTACGGACAACATATATATATAGTAGATTCTTATATTCGGAGTTGCTTGAAGACTTGGCTAACAAAGCCGGCCGTTCAACCAGATACTTATATCCACTCGTCTCCCCTCATCCATTCGTCTCTGACTCATCCTACGCGCGGATATAAGAGAAAAAGTCTGCTATATTCCTTTTTTATCCTTTGGAAAGGGTTTTGCAGGAACAAAGTAAGAAGTGTTGTCGCGTATAAGTCAGAGTCGAGGCGATTCGTGCCACACACGTTGAAACTCCTTGAAGTCGAATAGATAAGAACGCAAAAAAACGGATAACCTACTGGTTATATCGCGGTTGCGATTGCGTTTTAACGAATCGCGAATTATTTTAAATTGGCTTTAAAGCGGATATTATTTTTTGAACTTTATCATCGATGATACAGATGTGTGCTCGATTGGAAAAAATCGTGCAATTGCAACAACTATTGCATATATAACAGACATGAAATATATGAATTATAAAATTACTATAAATATCTCATTAATTACATTGTACATATACATACATACATACATACATATATATATATATATAAATTACAATACTTTTTTATTTACAATCTTTTAAATTTACTTAGAAAAAATTATTTTGCAAATTATAATTCTCTATATATCTGTTTCATCTTTTTTTTTTCTTTTAATATACACATATAAGAGATTGAAGAGATTTATAATCTGTATTTTTTTGCCACAAAATTGTCTCAATCTCATCTCTCTTTTGGAATAAATTTCTCAGTTCAAATACATTAAAATTTGGCTAAACATAGTTACTGATTTTATTTTCTTAAACTGCCTGTGCATTTTCGTATTGGCATCAAATCGATTCATTCACAATCGCATTGCAGAACATAAATGAAGATAAAGGCGCCGCTCGTAAAGAGCGAGGACTTATAGTTACAAATATAAACATTTATATTTTTACTTTCATTGCATCTCGATATTTAGACGACTGCATTAACACGTGGCTCTTAACACGGTTAGAGTAGCGTCATTGACATACTCGTACAAGTATCTTGGCAGAAGAACAAGAGCGATGTGCCTTTGTGCGACTCGCGAGGAAACAAAGAAACGTGCATTCTCGATATGTCTTATACATATACAGAGTCTCTGACCTACCGAAAATAGTTTAGCCGCATATTTTCTGACGCACAGAGAAAGAAGGAGAAAATTCGCGAGGAACGTTAAATCGCAAAATATACGCGCTGTCCAAGCGCGCGTTGCAGTAAAGTGACACATCGATTTGCATCTATATGGCCGTAAAGGCACCCTTACATGGCAGCATTAAGCGTCGAGCGTCTGCGCAGAAAAATGCGCAGAATTTAAAAGAGATAGATTCTAGGCTGAAATTAGATTCTGCGCAATTTTCTACGCAGACGCTCGACGCTTGACGCTGCCATGTAAAGGCACCTTAACGTTATCTCGAGCGTTAAAATCGCCGCGATCCTGATATTGACAATATATGCGCAACGTAGCGAATATCTGCTTGAATCTCGAAATGATGACGCTGCGAACGATATATGTGTCGTATATTATAATATATTTAATCTACTTTACTGCTTTATTTGCGCGTATTCCGCATTTTATCACCCGCTATCGGCTCCTTTACGAGCGACGAAAGATTTTTGCGGAAGAAATTAGCGAGCTGGTTAACACCGATTTAACAAATGCTTTATCACACAAATATTAAATGTTCAAGTCACAAAGAAACAAACTTTGGTATTCATTATTGAAGAGAATTTCTCACGATAAAACCTAACTGCTTTTTAGCAACTATCCCTGGTCACATGGATTGATATCTTTTAATTTTAGAAGAATAAAAAAAAGGAATCTTCTTCTCGAAAAGTTTTTTTAAGCTTATTATCTTCAAAATGCAGAAAAAAATGAGTTTTTAAATTATAGATAAATATTTTTTACGTACTATTTTTTTAAACTTATCCAGATACGATTTTTCTTTAACATATTATTTAGCACGTGGTCTATCTCTTAGAAACTAAAGTTTGCCAGGGAATTGTTGTTCGTATATAATAATTTAATCAATTATTAAGTATTACGCACAATTCATGCATTAGGTTATATAAGACATCTCATCGAAATCAAACAAATAATAATGATCATTAAATTCGAACGATAGCAAAATACTTAAACATGCTTGCCTTATCGAAAAAAAAAAAAAAAAACTATAATGGAAAAGAGCCGGATACGCGCGTAACACACGTGTACACGTTGTCCGACGCATTTGACATAAGTGCACTATCACGTTTGTCGAGCCCGTATCGATGAGCTTTATATTGATGATCCCGCGATGTATCTCGGCGATAACGGGCCCGATCACGTCAAGTTTTCCTTGGTTGCGATATCAGTGACAAGCGTCAAGGATAATTGCGGGCAACCGCAAGCATCGTGGGGATTTCGATCGATTTCGCGACGCACCGATGATCATGTGTGGGGTGTCGCGAACTTTCAAGGCGACATTTATCACAGTGACTTTTTAATGCGTCTTATCGCTGCCGGCACTATACACATAACGCGCGCGCGATAAGCAATGTTGACACTTCAGCGAATCTAATGCAAGTCAATTATATAGAAAACGGACAGAAAAATATGAAAATATTTTGCAATGAAATAATAAGATATACTCGGGTTATGTAAATCTTCAAAGATTAAGAGGGGAGGGGTTTAATTGTTTCAATACTTATTGAATACTTTGTTTTTAACATTGCGTTTACTCAGTGCAACAATTGTTTCTAAAATCCTCTTTATCTTTTTTGAATATTTTATAAAAAGCTATAAAAAAATATTTCACTATTGGAATTATGATTTAATCATTCCGTATTTCGAGTATCTGAAAATGAAAAGATATGTCAATAACTATCATAATTGTTGTATCGAGTTTATTTCGAAATAGATTGATATTTTTGACAGAAATCAGATATACATATTATGTATATTGTGGGCGAAATAAAAGATACCGTGGAAATAAATATAAACCAAATTTTAGATCGAATAAACTTTAATAGTAAATCGAAATAAGAAATATTGGTTAAATAAATAAGTATAATTAATAACGATTTCGCAATCGAAAGGGTTTCGAGAAAGAAAATGATCGTTTACACGATCTACGCCGTTTATTCCAATTATAATGTACTGTTTTTCTTTGCATTTATAGCCCGAAGAGCCCGCCGAATAGCCCAAACACGGAACTCTCGACCGAAGATGAACTCAAAGGCGTATATATAAATTACAACTGCAACAAGGTCAGTTTCATAATTGATTCTTTACTGCATACTCTCTATATGACTCGACGTGGCTATAGAAAACCACGTGCGCATTTATTCACGTGTGTGCATAACTACGTATATTCATACTCATTGTATTGCGCATTACGATCGCAACTAGATCATAAGCGTCCTAGGAGTATATCGAGATCGCGATAGAACTTTTCAGTAAACTTGTACTATCGGTACTTGCGTTTTACCTTTATATTATTTTTTTTTTCTTTTGACGAGCTCGAACATTCCGTTAAATGCAGTCATGTTCTCATAAAACGAGGGCAAAGTTTTAACTTGTAAAGTTAACAGAGAGATGTTTAACTTGAAGAAGTCTCGAAGCAATAGCTTTGTGCCGATTGTCACGCACTTCCCATGAAGTTCTCTTCACAGGATGAGTGTCATTTAAATATCTAATCTGTACAACATTTCCGCCTGCAACGGATGTTGCCGATTCACAAAATATATAATGAATATTTATTTCTCATATGTTTAAATTACTAATTATTTTTAAATTACTTTATATTATTTTTGAAAGTGATAAACTGAATAATAATTTTGCAGAAGCATTGCAGAGAGAGATAAAATTTGAAATCTCATTTTCTTATGATAACGAAAATAAAATTTCCATTACTTTCTCGAACTTACTATTAGATAGCTTGAGAGTAAAGAAGACGAAGCGAGAATAATATCGATTGACTTAATCCCTCCGATTTGCATGGTATATACACTACTATATTCGACTGTAGCAGCGATGCGCAACTGGTTTCATCGAACGGTCCGTTTCTTCTGATGATACAATGTATCCGAATCATTGACTCCATTAGCGCCGTGCCCTTTTTAGCATTCGCGAATTACCATGTGTGTCGAATAGCACAAGAAGTTGCACGCGCTGCTAGAATTTCTTTCTTTCTCTCTTTTTTCTTTTGCTGTGTCCCAGTTACGCAAGAATGAACAAAATCCGTTCTGGTATATATACTTTCCACGGCTTTTATTTCGTTGACTTTCGATATTACGCAATATGGCTCTGACAATGGGTTAGGAAAAATTACATTGTCTGCTTATAAAACACGGATAATTAAATAAGAATTTACATAATTTCTTATATATATATATATTTTATATTTTTTTTTTTG